GTTAATGAATGTTAGTAGTCAGCCATAGTTTTTCTATGATGAAATATGTTCAATGCTGAATTATTTATAAAGAGATTTTATAAATCAGATTATTCATATACAGAATCATAATTATTTGATTTATAAAGCATGTAAGAGAGCTTCTTTCTTGTTCTGAAGCAACTACAAAGCTTCTTATGTGCATTGCTCTAGGATAGAGGCATCAAGGTGAAATAGGAAATTCTTGGTTGAATGAAGCTAAGCTATGGAATAATAAAGTTACCCATGGTTATAATACAAGCAAAACACTCAAGTCTATTCCCGTGTATTAGTTCACAGAAAAATGACAATCCATATGTTGTCCAATCTCATTATGCAGCTTTTTGGCTGTGGCCTAGCAAAAAGAACTGGCCAGATTAAAACAACTGTATCAAGAATTCTAAATACAATCAGAGTGTGTAATTTATGTACCATACTTTATCCAAAATATATTTCTAAATTTAGAATAATTGTATATTTCCAGTGAAAAGAAAGATTGGATAAATAATGTCACATTGTTACCATATTCTCAATGTATCTAAAATTATCCTTCAATCCTTCAATAGATTTAAAGCTAGGGTTTTTTTTTTCAGATAGAACTATTGAGAACTAAATTTTAATTCTAGTGGTGAAAATGTATTAAGCAAGATAGCAATAACTTTTAATAAAAGAAGGTATCAACATTCTGAAACTTAGATATAAATTAAAAATAACACACTTCAGCTTTTTTGAGACTGACCTTTTTTGCTTTTTTATATTAGCATATCAATGAATTGTCTATGAAAATGGACGTGGATGATGTACTTTGCAAAGCAGAAGCTGTTTCTATGCAGATGATGAATTGCAAGGTAAATAGTGAAATACATTTTATAAACATTCTATGAAGAAATCATTGGTTGTTCTAACTGATCCTTTAAAAGATAGACAACACTATTTGGAAATATAAAACAAATACACAGAATGATTGCCTATCTTGCTGCTGCTTTTCCTATGGCAACTCCCTCTGCCTTTAAAAAAAATTATATATCATTTTTATATTGTAACATTTTATTATGCACTGTCCAGAGTCCCTCTAAGGGAAAGATGAGCGGTTTAAAATGTGAAAAATAAAATTAAACAAACAAATAAATCTTACTTTCAGATTTTGCATTTCCTCTATTAGGAAAACATAATAGGTTGTGGAATTCCTTGAGACTGAACCTTTTTCCCTCCTTTTTTTGTTAACTTCAAGGTTGTGTGCACACATGAGACAAGATTAAAGAAAAGTAGTGAGCCATATTAGTGGGCAGCATTTCCCCATCCTAGGAAAGTAATAAGTTCTTTTGCAGTATTGTGACACCCGGCTATTGTATTTTGTTGCTTTTTTAGGGCTACTTGCTACTCACTTTTTCTTATCAAACACTAAGTTGTATAAGTTGATACTTCATATTCCTACATGTATAAGTCATATTTATTTAATTTAATTCTGCATTAGGAAATCTGTTATTTTTGGCTGGAATATTGTTTCAAATCAGGGTATAATTCGAGAGGAATAACATCCCAGCAATCAAAAAGAACTTTTTTTTCTTTTCTTCAAAGGAATTACCTCAAGCAATTTGTGAAATTTTGGGATTAGAAAATAGTGCTATGACAACACCAGATTCAGATGCTGGAGAAGATGAAGCTGTTGATGGGATGAGTTGCCTTGCATCAGCATATCCAAATGTCTCTTTGCCTGTTGCTGCTACCAACAAAAGAAATGAAAGAATTCAACAAGTGATACACACAGACTCCACAAACTAATGATTGTGTATTTGGTTGTATTGTTCAACAGGCAGTTTATTACAGCTGTTTTGTTTCAGGCACTTGGGTTGATATTTTGAGTTTGTGTTGATTAAGCTTTAATGAATTGGGAAAGAAATCATGTACTGTAACACTTCTGCATCAAAGCTTTACATGACATTATTTTTATAGTTTCTTCTACCAAAATAGCCTTCCGTTTTTCCAGTAACATTCCTTAATACATTTGTATAAAAGTGCATTTTTTTGTCTTCAGTGAAATGAGAATCAGGCAGCATGAATGGCATGAAATAAGGGATATATTCCTTGTACTTTGAAAATACCTGGGTATGGATAGTTTTGGATATTATTAAAGTGTTACAATTCTTCTATACTATTTCCTAAGTTAAAGATGGCAACTTCCATAACACAGCTTTGTAAATGAAAGAATTGTGTCCTTTTTCTAATGTTTACAAAAATACTAGTATTTGTGCGGACTGAATGTAGATTTGGAATGAAAATTTCCATTTGTGAAGTCCCTGATCCTGAATTTTGCATAATCTAGGATGGCATTTTTACATTTCACACCTTTCTTATGCATACATACTTATGGATTCAGATGTATGAATATTAAAGGATAACTCTATTTTTGACTAAAACAACTTTGGTTGATAATTCAGATAATTTTGTCCAGATTTTAATATACAGTTCAAGCCTAACTATTTTTGAAAATCATTTTTATAAATAAGGATAAATGTCTGAATATATTTAGGTTCTCAACTTAATATTCTTAGCAAGATTTTCTTGCTCATTTAACTAATAATGTTTATCTTTGCTGAATAGTAGTATAACTGTTTAATAATAACCAATCTAAATTGCCTTTATATTAGACTAAACTTTTTGAAAACATATAAAAATAAAGTTGAAATTTTAATTTTCTTCCTTTGGTTCTGCCTAAGCTCCCTTTGGTGACACAACAAAATCTGGAGTTTCCTAGGGTGGACCGTTACATGCATATGAGAAAAATATAAAATTATTCTATGCGATTATTTGATGTTTTACAGTAATGTGAAATATAATTTCATGTATTTGTTTCTATTTGAAGAGTATTGTACATATTATGAAATAAAATGCAAAGTTTACTTAAAGATTTTTAATTAAGACATATTTAGTGGAAAACCAAAAAAGAATTCCTAAATTTCCAGTGTTTCATGAGAGGCATTCAGTTCTTTTACGGCCTAATACTTTAGTTATAAAATAAACAGGCTAGTGATGGTGTTGTATTCATAAATAAGGAGTTGAATTTTGGTTTTCTGCAGATAAGCTTGAAAACAAATGTGATCCTCATGACATTTGTCAGGATCTAGAAATCCCTTTTTTCATAATGATATCCTGATCCATGTTCTGGCAATAGAAAATCAGGCTTGTTTTTTCCAATATGATTAAAGTAGCTGTAAGAAAAAGGGAAGGAAATATTAAGTCATTCCCAATTATCAAATGCAGTCTTTCTCCAAAAGATTCGATTTCTTCTATATACATTCTGAAAAAGAATTTACTGAGAGTGAAGAAATATGCCCGTGGTTTTAGTTGCTGAAAAGATAAAGCAAATTGTGGCATTAATGTGAGAGCTGATGAAATGGTAAGTTATTAACACAGATATCAGAAGGTGAGATCTCTGTAGTCCTTGGCTGTAATTTGTTTGGGATTCTTATCTTTTATCAGTTAATAACAAAATACTCCATTTGGCAAATGGCAAGAAACCTAACATCTCTAGGCTTTCATTTCCTGCTTACAGGAAATAATTTTTGGATTATCTTGCCCTTTTTGTTCCCTCACAGAACTTTGGCTTTTACATTATCATGTTAATACAACTGCTGGATATTTTTTTTTCTACTGCTGTCTGTTGGCATGATTCCAAAATGAACACAAAGCTGACATGTAATCTCTCCCTCCTTCTCTCCTTCCCTCCCTCCCTCCCTCCCTCTCTTTCTCTCACACAAACACACAAAATTTCCTTAATACTTGCAACATTCAACGTGGAAAGAAATATGGAAAGCATAATTAGGATATTTATGCACATAGTAGGAATTCTGATTTTTTCCCCATTATATTTACCTTACATGACAACCTCATTATCAAAACCATGTTGCATATGTCTTCATAAAAATAGTCTAATTGATTTGGTATTGGAAATAACTGAATCATTGTAACACAATAGCCCCAGTGATAATACTTATTTAAATATATCTGACATGCATAAAGACTGTCTACCTTAAGTCAGCCAGATGGAATAAGAGGAGGCTCTTAAGGAAGGTAGTCCCACCATTTACAGTAGATGCAACCACAGGAATCCTCATGCAACCAAATTAGCTCTTCAATAGATATGGGAGTGGGACTTTATAAGAAACAAAGTAATGAGCTTTATTGTACCTGTCCTATAATGAATTGTTAAGAGTTCTAGAAACCTACATCTAAATCATGTGCCAAAGTTCTTGGGAATTTAGCCTCACCTGTATTTGGTTAAAGAACACATCTATGAATCTAAGCAGAATTGTCTAATTGGATTCTTATTTCATGGGATTGGATAATACAACTATATAATATTTAAATATTTGCACAATCTCTATACTTTAGAATTTATGCACTAAGTAAAACTTATTTTTATATATGATACTTCACCAATAAGTAATAGAAGGATTCCTTTGGTCGAATGTCAGTTGCTAATCTCAATCTTTCACACAGTTGCCTCATTAAATGTACAAAATAAGTAAAGGAGGAATTGTCAATCAATAAAACATCTTTATAATATTTTTAATCCTGTAATCATACTCATTGGATTATAGTGTGAAGGCTTCTGACAATATTAAAACACTCCTGGGAAAAGTATCAAGTTCTCTTCATTCTTTTTAAAAATGTAATGTTTTTTCAGTGACATGAAAAGTGCATTTCTTGTTAACGGAAACATCAAGCTGCCCATCTTGCTTTGAGTATCAATCTTCGGTAATGGAATGCCATGCAAATGTTTAAATGGCTCTTTGTAAAGAAAGTGCTCAACTGTTTCTGAAGTCCATTGATAAAAGTATAGTACTTTTAAAAAATAGTAACAAGTCAGAGGAATAAAACAGAAATTGCAAACAGAAGAGGAGTCAAGAAAAAAGTGTGCTTCATGTGACAATCATCAGTCTTTCATCAGTTTTTCACGAGGCATATAAAAACCCTTGCTGGGGGAGGTGAGAGGCGCTTGAAGTGTTTGTTGTTCAGCATCAGAGTGCTGAACTGCTGGACAGCTCCCTGCAGGCAGCATTGCAAGCCTGTTTCCTGCTCTGAACAGGGAAAACAGTAGGGCTCCCACCATGCAGCCAGCAATGATGATGTTCTCCAGCAAATACTGGGCACGACGGGGCCTTTCTCTGGACTCAGCTATGCCTCAAGAGTACCCATTATCCAGGAATGTAACTGTAAGTATCAAGCGTTTAAAGATACCAAACCATTATCTTGTCAGATTGTTTTAGAAATGTTCAAGTACTTCCAGATGAGTGTTCTTTGGGGCCTTTTAACTGAACAGATTTATTTCTTTGCTTGTTCAGAAAAAAGCTTAGGAATCACTCCTTACTCTCTGCAATACAACTGTTTCATTACAAATTATCAAAACATTTTTTATAAAAGACATTTTTTGAGACAAAACTTGAATTCAATTGATTGTAGCCTTCACTTTTGTAATGGATGTTCCTAATGGTGGAAGTTAATCCAGTCTTTGTTGAAGACTTACTTTCTCTGCCTTGATTTTTTTTAAGTGCACATTTTTTAGCCACTTACAGCAGCTTTTATATATATATATAAGCACATTTGGTTTAGTAAGATTTTCTTCCAGGGAAAGTAGTTGAATTTACATGTAATTTTTTTTAAAAGATTGAATACATTGCTGCAATCATAAAACACAGGGATGGCAGTCATTGTGGCTGTCATTTAAAACCAAACCAGAAGGGTATAATATTTCAAACCATGTGAATACTATTACTACAACAAATAATATTAATAATTGATATAAACAATATTATGATCTGGACCTCTATTAAAAAAGATAATAACTTTTACTGAAAATTCAATCATACCTCTTTGGGCTTAATTTTACACCTAAAAGTAGACATACAGAAGAAACAAAAAAAATACCTTACTGTTATACACAGCCTTTGTTATAACATTAAAATGCTTAACCTAAATAAATATTGAAATTCTAAACATTTTACAATGTTTCCTCAAATAATTTAAGATTAAGAAGCTGGTTCTTGCTCTCTGATGATGTTATTGTCATAAAGTTATTTCTCTCTGTGTGTTTATACTTACATCCATCTCTCTATATATCCATTTCTATCTGTCTCTAGGATGGTGATGATGATGATGTTTCCTAGAACAGCCCTATTGGTGGTGTTTTCAATTTAGCAATCCACAACTATATTGTGATTCTGATTATGTTTCCTTCTTAAATTGGTTGGCTATATTGTAACATAATGGACTTATACTTCTGTATATAAAGCCTCATTTTGTATACAACTATATGTGTCTTATCACATTCATATCATATTCTTTGATTACAATTTACTTGAGATATTGACAGATTAGCTTCTTCCAGAAAGTACTTAATTTTCATAAAAACTAAAAGTGCTACATCATTTTTTATTTGGCTTAAGATAGGCAATGTTTGAGAGGCCGTTATTAGATATATATTTTTAAAGATCACTAGAATTTTAAAGATCACTAAAATAAACTATAAATATATATTTATAGCATTTTAGTACGATTTTTAAAAGATCTTATAGCTGTATAATCACTCAGTTGTGATGAGTTCTTTTTTTAAGCCAAGTGTGATTTTCTTAAGCCAAGTCTTGCCATTAATTCAACTGAAAATTTAACAGTATAAAAGTATAAAAGTATAAAGTAAATTTATCTTTTATGTATAAAAGTAAATTTATCTAAGAATATAGGTTGTTGTGAACAAACACCATATCTAAGTAACATGTTTTACTAGGTTAGAACTGTACTGCTAATTTCTATGGTTTTCTTGAACTTCATAGTTTTAGGTGATCAAAAGGAAATCAGAATTCTAAATGTTTGAAATATGGTAGGAAAACAATTAAATATGAATTATATTTAGCAATAATCACAATATGAACAGAAATATTTTGGGGAAGTTATCAATGTAGATTATTTTCCTCCTGAAGCACAATAAGGTACTTGAAATTTTTTTATTTAATTGTAGCACAAATGAGTAGACTTGAGTAAACTGATGGAAGTTGGTGTGTTCAGTTAGGAATCCTTCAAATTACATGTATAATTATTTTCTGTTTGTAGGATTACAGGCAAGCCATATAACAATTGAAACATTTCTGTTTAGTTTCATGCACAGTATAGCATCTGTTTGAAAGTATAATTGGATACAGTTTCTCAACTTGTATACCTTTTATTCATGTAAAAAAACCCAGAAAAATACCTGACAATGTATTGTTGTCATGACAATTTGCAAATCTTTTGCAGGTTAAGTGCACCAAACAAATACCGTATATTTGGCGGGATTTTTTTTCAGGGAATAGATTTTTTAAAGTTATAGTCAAAGACCTGAAAATCTCAATAAAAGAATTTTTGTATTTAAATAAAGATTAAATGGTTGTAAAATGCTAAAACTAAGATAAATGAGTTCAGTTTTTAAACTACATATGCAGTAAAAGAAATATTTTGCAAGACTGACAGAGATTATATCATTTTGATCAAATGACAGTAAATACCAAAGGTAAACTCAATCTGAATGGCCATAACAACTGCAATCTATTCAAGGTATTTGCCACGGCTTATGTTCTGAATATCTAAATTATATATCCTATTTATCCATGTCATTGGAGGTAAACAGTATTGCTTTTTATTAGATTTGTTTATTTGTTAGGCAAATAAAAAAAAGATTGAAACCTTTCTATGTTGGAAATATTCAGAGGCTGTTCAATTTTTGCAGTCACGAATAATGACTGATATGAGAGATTGAAACAGGATAAGAATTGGTTCACAATCAAAGATCCAGTTACTAAATGCATAATATTAATGTTCTGTAAGTTTTATTGATTCTCCATTTGGCTCAAAATTAAAATAAAGATACTTGTGCATATCTTTAATAGCTTTGTAGATAATGATTCTGTTATGCAGAAGAGAGTAGCTGTCGCCATGTTTGTTCATTCGTTCGTTTGTTCGTTCATTCATACATCATTCAACATCATAACATTGTTAGCTTCTGTGTTATAGCCTGTATATTTAATTTTCTTTAGAGTATCTACTGAATAGGTAATTATAAATATAATAAACAATATCGCCTCTTATAATCAGTTTCATAATAAGTGAGACTAAATTTTCTCTTCCTTCATCTCCATCAAATAATTTTAGTTCTTTGATTATAGTTAGGTAACAACTTTAAAAATATAAGAACTGTAAAACAAGAGGAATAGTAAACATTTTCATAATATGTTATGAAATATATAAATATATAAAGTATGAACATTTTGAATAAAAAACTATTAAAAGCACATTTCTTTAAAAAGAAATCTTATAAGTATATTTTGGCCATTTAAGTAAGCATCATATACCAACCTTATTTCAATTCTTTTTTTCCAGGTAATAAATTTTGAATAAATTGCTATGGTATCATTTAACTGTTATTTATATCTAAGTATTCTAAATTCCTGCTAAAGATGGGCATTGCTGAAAGCAAACTAATCCATTCAACCATGTAATCAAATATTTCCTTAATTAAAACAAAGTTAATTGTGTTTTACTTAAAATAGTGTAAGGGCATTCAGTGTTGATGAAAATTATAAACAACAATTTTTCATCACTTTGATGTAGGGGGATGTGTTGATTTTTCCAAGGAATTATATTTCTATGAGAAATTTCACTTTGAAGAATGTCTGTGGAGATTTTCAGTCATCCAGATCATAGGTGAATCAAAGATGTTTTTTCAAAAGGCAATCTAACTGTTTTTTTTACTAGTGAGGAAGAAAAAGACGTTTTGCTTCTCATCCAAGAAGCTTAATCGAACTGGCAATGGAAAGATTAGTTCTGACAGGATGGGAGAGGGAGTGGAAGGATCATATTCCTTTCCAATCATCTGATCGTTGGCATTCTCCCTGAGAGCTCTTGAGGCTCCTTGGGGGTTTATCTATGCCCTCACGGTCACAGTATAAGAGTGCAAATGGGGTGTGGAATCTTCTTGGAACTGCTTCAAGGGCTGTGTTGTAAACTGGAGTTGTATCCCTCCACCTCTGTTGAGAGAGGGCTGTTCAATTTTAATATTAATGGTCTCTCTCTTAACAGACTATGTTAACGTTGGGCAGCCCTCTCTCAACAGATAAACCCCCAAGTGGTCTTGAGCTCTCAGGGAGAGTGTTAATGACAGATGACTGCTTAAAAAAAAAAAGGAACCTCCATCCCTGCTACCCATCCTGTCAGAACTAATCCTTCCATCATCCCCATCATCCTTCCAGAACTGTTGAAGCTTCTTGGATGAGAAGCAAATCTTCCTTAGGGGGGGAAAAATCAGTTCAGTTGCCTTTTGAAAAAGCACCGTTGAGTTCACTTTGCAGAGTTGTTCTTCCAAGTTTTCATCTTATATAGAAACATGTTCAAGCCTGTTTTGCACCGAGCCTGTAAGTATGAATTGATATTTTTAAAATATGTTCAGGTAATCCTTGAGTTACAATTGTAATGGAGCTTCCTCATTATGATTCTAAGCTGCAATGGTCGTAAAATGGGTTTGTCAAGTGATTGATCCAACTTTACTTTTTTTGGTGGCAGTCAATATCCAAATCTTCCTTTCCTTTTTTTTTATTATCAAAGCTTAGGAAGCTTTCTCTGTTCTTTCCCACAACCAATAAATTTAAATTGTTACTCAGTAAAACCAGGGGTGTGTTCTGGCTGCCACTACTGCCAGTTTGCTCAGGGATGCTCCTGCATGCCCAGTGCAACAAAAATTGCTCTGCGCATGCACAGAAGGCAAAAGCAAGATGGCGCTGCCTATGGCACCATCAAGAGAACCAGTTCGGGGGTGTGGCAGGCCTGGGTTGCTGCTGGTTCCAGTGACCTAGGCCACCAAGTTACAACCGGTTCAGCCGGTAGGAACCCACCTCTGAGTAAACCATGTATTTCAGCCTTCCCCCAGCCCTATTGTAGACCCACTGAAATGAGAAATTCAGATGCAAGCAAAATGAATAAATCTTTCCAAGACAATAAAGAAAGTACAAGTTATTTTTTCTATCAACTGCTTCTTTTATAATTTGAGAATTGTGCTCTTTGACTTTTTCCCTGGTATTCAAAGGCACCTGTGATGGGAAAGGGATGTAATGTTCTGCACATCATTCATGTTTGAATTTATAATGTGGACCCCAGAATCCATAATTGTTTTCCAAAAACTTTGGAAGTTTTTATTTTCAATTGGGAGCAAAATGTTAGTTTTAAAAATAAAGAAAAAATGAGATTATAACAGCTTTCATTCTACAATGCTCTTTTTAAATTTTATTTAGAATAATCTTTCATTTATATTTGCAACCTATAATTGCTAACAACCTGTAATGGCCCTGAATGTGCTTTTTAAGAAAGAGGAAAAAACTAAGCAAAACTTCACTTTTGAAAGAGCTATATAAATTCTAAGATCAAATAAAGGAAAGGTTAATTATTGTTGAGGGGTACGTGGAAATGCTTGTGATCTGTATTTTCTTTCAGCTAAACAAAACAAATTCTGGTAGAAGTGATGATAAAAAGGCTAATAAAGGTACAAGCAAGAATGAGTCAACATCTGAAGGTGGTAAAACTGCTGTCGTGTTTTCTTTAAAAAATGAGGTTGGTGGCTTGGTAAAAGCTCTCAGACTTTTCCAGGTAAATATTATTTTACTATTTATTTTCATAATAATATATTGATTGAAAAATGTGCATCATGTTTGTATGAAAGATAATGTGCATAATATGTCTTAAATCACAAGACACTAGATTCACTTACCACACCAATCCATTGATTAGTGAGTAACTCAACTGAGTTAACACATTGTGCTTGGTCATTCTATGATTTATTATCCAAAATGGCTTGGTTTGCACAATATGAACAATTAAAGTCAATCAAACCACATTACAGCATAAAGTGAAGTTAATCATTTTATGGTATATTAACTGCAAATCAGAATCTTGCTTCTGACATGCTAGAATAAACAATTAAGTTGGCTTAGCCTGTACTTTCGGTTTTCTAAAATAATATATTTCAATCTTCAATAATAGTTTTGGAATTATTAATATCCTTTGATACCAAGATTGATAGCAATATCTAGAAATGTTTTCTGTTAGCACCAGCTCCAGCTAACATACTCATCTAAAACATCCAGTCTTCCTCCATTCTTGCTTTAGTTACTTATTTCAGCTACTGCAATCTGCTTTGTATCACATGGAGATAAATTTCAGAAGTTGGAATATTTTAACTGAGATTCATAGATTAGCTCTTATGCTATTTAACTTTATTGCCTAATTATTTATTTCTGCATTCAATTTTAAATACTAGTTGAACCATTTAAAACAATCATTAGTACCCTGAAGTCTAAATCAAATGCCATATCTAAATTTAAATTTCTCTGGAATAAGTTCACAGAATTCACAATTGCAATTTAGGGTTGCCAGTTCTGTTATTTTATTTGCAAGGGCTGTTTTAAAAAACATTAGATCTTGACTAAGTTATACATCTAGCCAATGTTATGCATCTGAGCTATTCAGCTATATATTGTAATGTTTTACTAAAGTAAAACGTAGTATTTCAGTACTTGGATAATGAACAGTAGTAAGTCTTGGGTTAATAGGGATTTCTATGCTGTGGAATTTTTATCATGCATTTGGCCTTCTCTTTGGGAAAGTTATAGATGACAGAACAATGCTACTGTATTACCAAATTATTTCATTTTTTCTATTTTGTTTGTCATGAATTTGGCATGAAATTAGTAGTATTTCTAGTACATATGAATGATGATTTTATATGAAATTGCCATGGTAAATCAATTTTAAATTTAAATTATCCTAAGGTATTTATAGTTTTTCCATGGAGGTTTATAATGCAACAAAGGAGTGAATGCAATAATAATTTTATAGTAGTTTATTTCTGGCTGATGCACAAATATTTAATTTTGTTTAATATAAATATCTGGATATCTATTCTAAACTACCACCTGTTAAGACCTAAGCATTTAATTCCTGCTTTTCCTGGGTTAACTCCTTTTTCATCTGTTTTCAGGAGAAGCATGTGAGTATGGTTCATATTGAATCCAGAAAATCCAAGCGAAGGAATTCAGAGGTAGAAATTTTTGTGGATTGTGACTGTACCAAGAAAGAATTCAACGAACTCATTCAGCTGTTAAAGTATGAAACAAACATTGTAACTCTGAATCCTCCAGAAAACATCTGGACTGATGAGGAAGGCAAGACTATTGTTTCTTTTCTTCATCTGTTTCCCCCCGCCATTTTATTATGAAATCTGCCCATTTGTATGAAGACGCAGGGAAAAATGTTTGATTCCCTTCCATCTCTTTGTTTTTTCCAGAGCTGGACTGTGTGCCTTGGTTTCCCCGAAAGATTGTTGAATTAGATAAATGTTCCCAGAGAGTTCTCATGTATGGCTCCGAACTGGATGCAGATCATCCTGTAAGTGTTTAGAGAAGATCCAGAAAGGCTGACCAAATAATCTACTACTAATGTAGCAAATGAGTGAAATGAATGAGTGCAATACATTATCTATCTTAAGCAGTTTTGGTTCAATCTGTTTAAGTACAGACCTCACATTTTGATTTGTCTTCAGATGTATTTCTATCTTTCTGGAACATTCATGTGTCAGATTTAGATGGGTTTGTAGATTGCAGCTTCTGTTTCAGAAGTACACTAGAGAACTTTGAGAGGCAATTTTCATTTCTCTTCATTGCAAACAATGCAAGAGTTATAGTTCTAAATCAAAGTGATATTCATGCACACTGCTGTATGAGCTTTTAAAAATATAGATATTAAATTAACATTCCAGGGAGTGTGGGAGGCATATGGAAATCTGGTAACACTCCAGGAGATAATTATAAAGTAGAAATCATAGCATTCTTGAGCAGGAATGCAGCTGGCACACAGGATCTTTGTGTTTTTCCCTCCCTTATTTTTAACACTTTGGCCCCATTTCAGCTCATGTTTCACTGTCTGCAGGCTCACATATTGCCTGAAAACATTGCATCCAAAACTTGAGGAAATTAACCTATAGATATGGTTTGTCTTCCTTTCATTATTGCCTCTGTGCACTCCTCATGGAGTGAAGTCAACTTTTATTAAATCTTGTAACTCCTAAATCATCCAATAGTAGAGATACAATGCGGTGTATTATGTAAAGCACACAGAAACTTACTCTGCAACTATCACTACCCCTACCCTCATTCCCTGTTCTTCATAGGATTATGTTAGAGGGGAGAGTAGGGCTTTCATCCAATACTGGGTATTTTGCACATAGACATTTAGTAGTATTTTGGAAATTTGAGGAAGGTGTGTCATATTTTCTCTTGGAAATTCTCCTGCTATCTCAATCATCCAAGTCATGGTTGTCCAAAGGTGCTTTTCCAAATGGCAACTGGACTTTCTTGTTTTTTTACCCTTGAAAATGTTTCACTTCTCATCCAAGAAGCTTCTTCAGTTCTTACTTCTTAGAACTGAAGAAGCTTCTTAGATGAGAAGTGATATGTTTCAAGGGAAAAAAATCAAGAAAGTCCTGTTGCCTTTTTGGGAAAAAAAATCATGGGAGTTTGTGCCCAGAATTGATCAGTTCCTTCAGGGAATGTTGGGGAGTTCTGTGCATTGTGGCTGTATGATACTTAAGATTCATTTATCCCAAATGTATTTTTTCAGAAGGTTTCTTGAAGCCCAATTAAAAAAAAAATGCATATTTAATGCTTTGGAACCTAAGCTCAATGGTTTATACACCTCATCATTGTTTTCTCTAAGGTCTGGCCTTTATTTTAATGTAATAAAGTCAAATGCAAGGTTCTTCAAGATTGCTTTATGATCCAAAGAAAGTTAAAATCTACTTGATTATTTCCAGTCAATAAATAAATGAAAGACATCAGATTTTGTTTGAGAAGTAAAAAATGTTTTACTTCTCATCCAAGAAGCTTTTTCATTTCTTACCTTTTAGAGCTAAAATGTTTTCAAGGAAAAAAAACCTAAGAAATCAAGTTGCCTTTTGTAAAAGCATGTTTGGGACATCTTTACCCAAGATCCATGGGACACAGAGTAGGCAAAGATATAATGGCAGATCTCCCCACCACCGCCCCATTCCATCTGCCACACAATCATATTTTAGTATTTGTGAGAAGGTCTGAGGCTGGTAGAGGAAAGATACCTCCAATAAAAGCCCTATTAGTTACTTATTAATGTTGCTTATTCTGGTTTTGTTAATTTACTCAGTAGTGATTCTAAGAGGCCTTGATAAAATTTGAAGCTTGAAAGGCAAGTTAATCATAACAACAAGTAAATAATACAATGAGAAAAAAGCTCTACTTAACAGATACTTGAAATTGTAGATATAGAAAAGATGGAGCAGATTTTGGAAGCTAAATCTTAAACATGCTTGGGTAACTACTAAAAGGCAAGGTTGGGTGGGTTCTGAAGGTGGTATGAATGAGAATGTTCATAACTATTTAAAACTTGGATGATTTATTTAATCCTCTTTTCTATCACTTATCTGCCTCTTTGGTATAAATTATTTTTATTTGCTTCAGGGATTTAAGGACAATGTTTACCGACAGAGAAGAAAATATTTTGTAGATGTTGCCATGAGTTATAAATAGTGAGTACTCAATATTTTTCAAACTTTCAATTTTAAAGTCTTTATCCTCAAATACAAGAAAAATATGCAGCCCTCTTTTTCTTGAATATAAAATTTGCAATAGGCAGATGGTGATCATTAAGCTGTAACAATTTATATTACCAAATTGGCATGAGGAACACAAAAGTTGAGTTTATTTGGATTGAATTTTGGAACACATCAGTATTGGTTCATCCAACTTTGTTTTCCTTCTGTAAATTGGCCATCTTTTCTAGCCCAAGCAGGATTGAAATTAGGATTTCTACATGCAAAATGTAAGTACTGTCTCTGTGTTCTGGAACTACAGTTCTTTTCCATTGTGCTTCTGGCCATGACAGCATGCATTTACGGCAATGGCTCAAGAAACTAGACAGCTGGGTTGGATTGAATTGAAATAGTTACTCATGATATGGGTAACAGTAGACCAATTGACTTGATCATTATATCTAAGGCTTAAAAGGGATAGAGGTATCTGGAGCAAATGCAGCTTTCATTAGAATGATGATGCAGGTAGTCCTTGATTAGTGATTGTCTTATTCAGTAACCATTCACAATCACAATGAAAATGGCCAATGTCTGCATTTACAACTTTTGTAGGTAGGTATAACCTTTTTAAAGCAAATGAAATCTGATGTAAAATCAGAAATATAGACACTATTTCACTTAGCAACAGCTTTGCTTAATGACCAAGTTGCCAGACAATTGTCACTAAATGAGGACTATCTAAACATGTGTTATGATGTCATAATGCATAATCATAAGATTTATCACAAGGAGCCAAATTTGTATTATGATACTTTATTGTGATACATGCTCTGCCACTTTCCCTCTGTGACCCTTCAGAGATGTCTACAAAAGGACACTGCTGCTTTGTTCAACATTCTCCAGGGAAAATTTAGCTACATGTGAAAGTTCATGTCTGCTAATCATCCCTTTTCTGCACAGAGCAGAGCACTAGCTATTGAGAGAGGGCGGACTGCGTCTATCTTTTCCTTATATGAGTAGGCCATTTATTTATTTTTCTCTTTGATATAGTTGCCCATTTCACACCTGTGATTCATTTGCTTGATGGTGAGGGATGTTTCGCCTCTTTTGGATGCTTGAGTCCCAAGACAAATAGCTATAATTCTGCCTTTCCCAGTGCGGATGTCCTGCAGATCTATAGACATTAACTATCAAAGTTCTCCGACTACTCTGGCAATTACAGTAAACAGTTCTGTGTCAGAAAACA